CAAACATAGCCTAAATGGTGACTTTCAGTCTGAACAAGGGAAGGTATTTTGGCACTTGGTTTTAGTTGCATGTAAATAAAAAAAAAAAAAAAGCTTTATTAACACATATAAGGACTATCATTAAAATGAATCATTTTTTTTTTATTTTTTTCCCTTTTTCTTTTTTGCTTAATTTGAAAAGCAGGAATAGTCGTCGAGAAACATATGGGTATTGCTAGATAAGAATGAAGAGAAATAACCACAACTATGTAAAAAATAGAAGAAAGTATCATTTTCCTCAACACTTTACCTGTAACCAACCAAACACGCTACTAGAGGTCAGAGATGGAATTGAACTTTATCCTTGCAGACCTGACCATCGCTCTCCCTATTCCTACGCACAGTAGTGGATTTTTTTTACTTTCCAGATTTGTGTCGTTTTAGAGCTATAGGCATCTTGTTTCTACAGTGTGTGACAAATATTTTTTCTAACTTGTTCCACCTGCTAATTAAGTTTCTAAGAAACTTTCTATATAGACTTAAATAGGAAAATGCATTTTTTAACATATATCCGTAATATAATATAAAGTCTAGCATATGGTACACTTAATAAGTTAAAATGATAGCAAAGGAATTTCCTGAGAAGTACCTTCTGGTTGGTTCTTAATTACTATGTACAAATTCCACTTTAATATTTATTTTTCTTAAAGTTGACGTTATGAAAGAATTAGAATAGTTGAAGAATAAGCATATGTCATATACATATTTTTCTCATTCAAAATGGACTACACGAAGAAAATAATAAATATACAAAAATATAAAAGGGGAAGGCTTTTCTACTTCTTAATTACTTAAAAAAAGTTCAGTTCCATAATTTCATCACTTTCTAACTGTATCTTTGATTTAGAATATCATAACCTTAATTACATAATTTATCAATGAGTCATAAGCCTCAAAAATACACATTTTGGGAGGGGGAAAGGAGGCCAGCTAAAATGTATTTTGTTAAGGGTTATCTGATACCTAACATCAAAAGAAAATGTGAGGATCCGTTTGGTTGGAAGTTAGAATCAGAATTAGAAATGAAATCAAAATGATTTGTTTCGATAGTTTGTTTGGTTCAGATAAAAATGGGAGTGAGAATTGGGATCGGTAGGAATGGGATTCCATTCCCAAGGGAGGGGGAAGGAAAAACCATTCCCTCAAATGGGAGAATATCATTCCACTAGTAATAGGAATGGAATTTCAATTCCACCCAACCAAATAATTGAAATCAAAATGGCCCATTCAGATTCTAATTCCAAACCCCTATTCCCACAAACTAATCGAACCCAAAGTTTTTCTGGGAATATTGTAAATATTATTCTTTTAAAAGTTTACTTGTAGCAATCAATCTCCAAGTAATAATAGCTACCAATAAATCTCCAAGTCTCCTTCCACATAATTATGAAAGAGACTGCTATATTTGGTATATTTCAGGCATTTCCCTCTTAATCTCATTCTCATTGTTTATCAAATTTTCTTTTCATCCCTTTTCTTCTTTTCCAACAGCATTGGAACATTCATCCATCGTCATATATAACGAGATAAATTTCAACATTTTCCAAATAACTGATGAAGATGCCGACTACTTACTGCTTAGGTCTCTGATGACTGGGGTTTGGGGTAGGTTGCAACTTGCAAGTTGGGTCGTAGTGTTGAAAATTTTACATTATATCGGCTCCGGACTTTTGGGTCGGGCCCATTCAAATCCAATCTGTGACTCTTCTAGTTTGGGCCTTTGGGGCCAGGTAGGCTACCCTAGCTATTGTGTGTAGCCAATTTGCCTACCCAAATGATTTATATCCCATATTCTGAGCTCTAAATTTTGAAGGGTCAAGGGCCAACCCAAGATTTGGATAAATGGAATTAATGATCATGTGCTCTAAGCATGTGCCACAAGGGGATTCTCCACGTTACAATTGGCAAGTTGATTGCTTTGAATAGGTTTTTTATTTATTATTATTATTTTTTTTTCTGGACCACTAAAGTGGGATTGGTTAAATGAATAATTGGGTCTCAGGGTACCATGCGTCTCAACTCAAAACTTATCAAATTAATGTCCCTATAGTCAAATATAAGTAGGTTCAGAATTAACAAAGTTTGGTCGCACAAGTCAGCCACGGCCAGCCTAACTTTTGTGGGGCAAGCCGCAAGGGTTTGCTTTCACCAGTTTCCACGATTAATAAACAAACAACTCGATATCCCTGGCTGGCTTCTTCTATTTGTTAATGATTGAGTCCTATAGTGTGAGAAAATGTGGGTCTGCTATCAATATCGTCAACTGGCCTGGGTGGCAAGAAGCAGCCGGGCCTAGGCTAACCTAAGGGACAGGCTGGGTTGAGACTTTCTCTTAAACCAATGCATGCAACTTATTGCCACCTGGCAAAAAAAAGTGTTTCTTACCATCTATCTTGTGCTTTCTTAATCTTAACCCAAAGCATCAAACCATCATCACTTGGGAAAGGTTAACGTGGGTTATAGATTGTATTTATGGGGCCCATAAAGAAGTCGTTAGTTTGTACGAGCTCATTCTCCATTCCTAGTCCAGATAACTTTCCAAAGATATCTAACCCTCCGTGAATCCTAGAGCTGCAACACAGTTGAGGGCTTGGGGAGACATGCAGCAGCTCTATGTATTTTGCTTTCTTTTAATGTTTTAAATAATAAAACCATTTCTTTTGATCGATAATAAAAATAATTAAGAGGGTGTTTGGTTCCGTCTATGTTTATTTTGTAAATATTTATTGATGGTGCCACATAGGTGTCATCTTAGTATTTTCTCTCTTATTCTTCTTCATATATCGAAAATGTAAAAAGTAAACTTTTGTTTATGTGCATGTCATCAGTTTGTAGAAGTTATTTTTTGAAACTTCCACAAACCACCAGGCATTTATTCACTGTTATGCTGAAGTGGCGCCTATTTGTCATAAACGATTACAATTATTGCATTTCTCAGTTTTACCAACAAATAAAATACAAACGTTTATTCAATAAATATAAATGGAACCAAACATATACCAAAGCTATACATTGAAGAATTATCTTCAAATCTCTCCTCACTTGCTGAATATGTAAATACTCAGTAGTTTTATTTTCTACGTTAGAAGAGTTATTTGCACTGGTGTAAATGCATCGGAGTGAAAATAAGAGGAATGGTCCCCAGACTCCCCACTTCTATATGAAAAAGAACGAAGATAAGAGGAGAGTTTTTTGGTTGGGGAGTTTGACAGGGAGGGAAATGATGTGGGTCTCATTTTATATTGAGAAAATTGAGGTATAGAGAAGGTGGTGTAAATTTTGTATCAGCCTTTTGGGATGCAAATTTTACACTGCTAATAAGTGTAACTGTGACAAAAATACAAATTTTGCATCAAATAGGTGTGCAAGTCATAGTTATAAAAAAAAAGGCATCAAATTTATCTTGATTGTGGTGGAATGGCCAAGAAACATCTATGTCGCCGTGACAGTCTTTGCTTTCTTCCTAGTTCCTACTATCATGTATCCATTACATTCCAAACTCGGTTGTGCTCTGCAAATACAAATATAAGTCATATCTGATCCAAATTTGGAAAGAGTATACAAATATAATTATAAATACATACAAAATATAAAGTTTTGCACTCTATATTAAATTGCAATTTGTAAGATACGATAGGTACAATCGAATTCCGGTTCCGTAAGATTTTATTGAATCCAACCGGATCACTCCCTTACCGAATTCGATTCGATTCATTTGCACCCTTAGGCTAATTCCACAGTTTTGGCTGATTTAGGGTGAAGAAACTAATCATCAATCCAGCATCAATCTAATAATCTATTTTATCCGCTGCTTCTTGACAAATATGTCCACAAATGTCTGAATAGATTTTTACATTTGAAGTCCATATCTATACCCAGTCCAAGCCCATCCTTAAGTAAGTCAGGCTGGGCCATGTACACTCAATGATGCTCTCTTGTTGTTAGGGGTGTTCATATGTTGGGTTCAGTTAGTTTGAGTTATTTTTTTCAATCGATTCAACCTAATCGGTTACTAAACTGAAACCAACTGACCCTAAAGCAAAATCGATCCAAACATGAAGGGTCAGTTTATCGGTTTAGTCACTTTTATATATATTTTAAACTAAAGTATCTATATCTAAATACCTATTTATATTTAAGTTTATTTCTTTTTAATTTTTATGCAAAACCAAAATATATATTTAAATCGGTTAGCTTTTTATGCATAACTGATTTTTTTGCCAATATATATTTAAATTTATATAAAACTGAATTAAAAATTGTACTATTGTATTATATTTGTATTGATTTTACGTTTTTAGTTTTTATCATAAATAACCAATTTTTTTTTCAAAGTTCAAACAAAACATAAATAAAATATATCAATATTTAACATATAAGGTAAGGACTAATTAATAACTACTTAAAAATGTAGGATCAATTTGATTCGTTTCGGTTTTGATCGGTTTGACATTTAATGTAAACAGTGAACACCCCTAGTTCTTGTCACAACTATAAATTTATTAAATGATCATCGTTAATAAAAAAATAAAAGAAATTCGGATGACGTTGATGATGTGGATGTACCAAGATCCATGTTCAATCGGGTTGAGATTTAGATCGGAAATGAATCTAACTACTGAATGCCTTTTTTTGGTTACTTGAATCAACTAACATAACATTAGCCATTAGGATACTTTAACCTTTTTTATGTGAAATTTACATGATCATACTAAAGTAATTATACTGTTGCATTATTGGATCTTTAATCGGATTTAACCGAACCGGGTGGATCATAGGATACTTGAACCTTTTTTTTATGTCAAATTTACATGTTCATACCATAGTAAGTAATTATACCGTTGCATCATTGGATCTTTAAACGGATTTAACCGAACCGGGTGGATCAAGATAATCCAATTAATTATTTAAGTACCCATTATTTGAGATCCACATCATGCTCCGATGACTCCGTCAATTCATAGGGCAACCAGCTACCAGATATGCCACGTGTCAAATTGGGCTTTCTTTTACATTTTTAAATTGAAAATTGAAACTTTCTACAGCTAATATCACTGAGAAACTTGTACACATGGAATCTATAACGAGAGCACAACGTTGGATAACTAAAGTTAAAACCGCAATTCTTGTTTTGGATAACTACTTACACGAAACCCGTATACCCGAATCCCTCCGCACGTTGTTTTCCAATTGCTTTCAAAACAGCTTGAGTCACTTGACGAGCATCCAGTGTTTGTTGTTGAGCTTCTACGATGGTTTCCATAGAGAAGCAATGGTTGGATGAGACCCTAGCGTGGAGAACGTTAAGACCAGTCTCCTCAAAGGTCTCCAGGATCGAAACCAGCAAATCCGGCCCCTTTTCGCAGGTCACATTGACTAGAAACCCATTCTCAATCCTCTCCACTTTCACTTCCTGTTGATTCATTGATACGGAGAGAAAGTCACAGTTTGCTAACTTATCACAATCCGATTTAAGCTCGAAACTTAGCAAGAACGAGAATTCATGATCTTAATTTCTGGTTTTTTCTTTCCTACAGCTTACACTCCATTGCTCCTGTACAAGTAAACTGAGAAATCTATTTGAATTCAAGAACTAATGGATTTTTACTAACCACTGGATTAAGCGTTCAGGACTAAAACCCAATAATTCTTTCTCTCTCTCTACGTCCATTGAGGTGTCTTGGTTTGAGTGTTTCAAGTTGGGTTGAAGGGAGTAGGATTCCTAGTCATAGCAGATGGTGTGTTTGATTCATTTTCGTACTAGAAAAACTTCCTTGCAAACTTTTCATTTCTCAGAACTCGAAGGATTCCGGTGCTCGATTCCCTGTTGCACTCAACACTCTACAGGACTACAGGTACCGAGGCAGTATAGGATTAATTTTGGGGACTGTAGGCATCATTTTTTTTTTAAGTTGCCATATTTCAGAGTGCAACCTCGTAAATGAAAACTTGTAATAAACTGGAGAGAGAAAGAGAGAGAGAGAGAGATGACCGTGGGAAGTCGAATCTGCTTCAGTAGGTCTCCATATGCTTGGTGGATTGCCTCCAATTTGAGCTTCAAATGGTTGATGTAGTTAAAAGCGTCGATGATAATGGAGCTCTTCCTCATCTGCAGAGAGCAACATCAACATGATGAACAAATTACAGCAGAATGTCTAGCTAAAACGAGCTTCTTATGGCCATCCTACTACATAGCATCATAAACCCATCAAAGAAACAAGAGAAACGAAGAATATTTTGCATTCCTTACAGATTTGGAACTGGTGAGCGACCGGAGTATTTGAAGCTTCCGGCGTAGTGCCACTCTCTTTTGCTGCCTAGATACCATTCTCTCTGTCTCTGCTTCTCTCTCTCTCTCTCTCTCTCTCTCCACTGTGTATTTTGTTCTGATTCTGATGTGATTCAATGTCTCGGCTTTTATAGAGTTGGTAAAAAGTGTTGGTGTTTGGATCTTGATGATGCCAAGTTACTAAGATGCCCTTTTTCATGGCAAAGTATCAATGTAGCCCAGCTATCTCCCATGTCGTTTTCCATATAACAAGATAAGAGTCTATAAAAGACAAGCTCCGTATCGTTTTCCATGAAAACTCCATTAGATGCACCATTTTTCATGGTAAAAAATGGTGCTTATTCTCTCTTGAAATCAAAATCCATCAACTGGGTTAATTATTTGCTTACTTTTAACCATTGGATAAGCAAACTAATTCGACCTTTTTCTCCTTTATAGGTTAATATAATATAATAGATCAGCTGGGTTATTTGTTTGTTGTTTGTGTTTCATTTATATAGTTGTAAGATGATCCAGCAATTCCTGATTCTAGCAAAACCCATTTTGTTTGTATGGGCCAATTTATCAAGTTCAGGCCCAGACAATATGGTAGAGTGATGCAAGCATGACCAAGCAGTTACGTGGTATATCTCAAATACCAATAATTAAATTAAGGCTCTGATCATGTTCCTTTGGCTCACTGAAGATGGTAGTACATTCAAAAGAAAGTGGTGAGAGAGTACATACAGACATAAGCCTTACAATCAAAGAAAAAAAAAAGAATCAGGGCTGGAACAGCATCTTTTGTATTGTCTGGTTCAAAAAAAATGCATTATCATTTTCTGAACCTTACCACTTTATTTTTTTAGAGCCATGAATATAATTGAACACAACACTAGTTTGTCTGATGCAGTCTAGTGGCCTGTTGCTCGATAATTTGAATCGTATGGCCCGACCCACCAACACAAAGAAGCAACAAGAAGAATTATTGTTTCGTCCTTAGAGACAGCTCAGACCCACTTCTCTTATATATTCTGGAATAGTTTCAAAGTTCCATCTGATTTTAATGGGGTTGAACCGGCCGCTATGCATGCAGTGTCGTCCGGCCCATGTAGATAACATCAATTTCAACAAAGTATCGAAGCTCTCAGACAATTCCCTACAAAACGTACATGGTGCTGTGAGAGGAAAGGATGCAGCTTTAATCAGAATTGGGAGTCTCGGCGCGGTTGGAGGTCTATAGTTGTAGCAGTATAGCATAGGTTGCTGCATGGGAGAGGGGACTCAGAGAGAGAGGGAGAAGAATGGAATCAGGTCATGTAGGCTGGGTCAAATCATCACGAGGCTCCCATTGGGTTTATTTTTGTCTCGAGCCCCAACTGGTCGAGGGTGTCACATGCTGTAACAAGAAATTTCTGAACTTGTTTCTGGTTTTGTTTTCCACTTTTAGATGACCTAATGATCCCCCCCCTTCACGGCTTCACCTTACAAAAGTGACCCTCTTTTGTCTTTATGAAAAGCATTTAGTTAAAACTACAAACACCTCCCTGATAACAGAATCTCTTGGTAATCCCTCCTTGTCTTTGTGGGTTTTCTTTCTTTTCTTTTTTTTTTTTTGATAAAGTTGTCTTTGTGGGTTCTGTAATCCCACATAAAATCCCATTTTGATGTGTTAATTCTTCCCTTTTGGGGGGGTTTTGGGCTTTGTTGGGCCATGATGGGCTTAGGGAGAGAGAGAGAGAGAGAGGAAGCAATTCATGTATATTCCATAGGGTAGTTGAGTCAATTGTAATCCCATTTTGATGGGTTCTGTAATCCCTCCTTGTGGGTTCTTTTCTGTTTTTTTTTTTTTATTTTTTGATAAGTTGTCTTTGTGGGTTCTGTAATCCCACTTAAAATCCCATTTTGATGATGCGATCCCATGGTAATTCTTCTTTTCTTGGTGGGTTTTGGGCTTTGGGGCCTGGTTTGGCCATGATTGGCTTAGAGAGAGAACTGAGAAAGAGAGAGAAATGCATGTATATTCATATGGGTAATTGAGCCAATTGACATTAGAAATACCGTTGGATGTAAACAGTAGATTTGATTTCATTCTCTCAAGGAGGAAAACGCCAAGGAGATGAAACCGTACGCCTTCATGTCAAGACTCATGAGGGTGATTACATGACCTGTCCACTTCTTATTCTCCGACGCCCAGAGAATCAAACACCCAAACCAACAGAAGGAACGTTGGATTCCAGTAATCGCCCGCCGTACTCAATAGACCCTCTTGGATACTCACGGCTGTGTTTTCTGTTTTTGTGCGCTCTCTCTCTCTGCAATCTCATGGCCATGGCCATGGGGTAGTCTTTTTCCTTGTCAACCCGTGCTTTCAGTTTCAGATTTCAATCAACTCTTATCATCCTCATCTCTTACTTTGTCCCCTTCTCCTTGACATGTCTCTCTTTATGGAGTGGGTGGGTCGAGCCCTTCTTTCCATTTTTTTGTCTACACATTCCGCCCATTTGATTCCTTCCCCTCTCGTCCAAGGTATCGGGATTCCACACTATCTACCTCATCATAACCATCCAACTCTGCCGTTTCTACCTCCCAAAACCACACTTGAAAAAAAAAAATCGTGTAGGGTCCAAAACTGGCATATAAGGGTGTCTTGATACCAAGAACTATAAGGCTGTTAAACCCTTGAAGGGAAAAAAACAAGTCTACTGTTCAGTACAGTTTAAAAGGAAGTCTACTGCTCAGAACAGTTTGGTTGGCTGCGGAACTCCTCAATCAACAGTTTGGACTTTGGATATACTTGGCTCTAAATTTAATCTGTTTGACATTTGGATCTGAATCAAATCTTACAAGTTCGATTCAGATTGGACTTGGGTGAGTTTTGGATATTAAAAGGCGATTAACCAGTGTCACTGGTTCCAGATATTCGGATAGTGGCTGCCCTCAAACTCAAACCTGCATCATTCTCACACTTTTGACAGCCCCAACAAAATGGCTTGTTGTATGTTATGTTATGAACAGAACAACTTGAAAAATAACTTCTATAAAGATTGAAAATATGACCAAACAGCCAATAAACCAACTTTACTAATAGATGCATATTAATTCTATATGGTTATAAGCACGTATTTACATATTATTAAATTGGATCAGATTGGGATCGAGGGTGAGCCTTAGCATAACAATTGGGTTGTTCCATTGTGACTTGGGCGATTGGTGATTAGGGTTCAAATATTGGAAACAACCTCTCTGTATGTAAATGGGTATGGGTAGGTTTGAATACATCTGTCCCTTCCCAAACACTGCATTTACAGGAGCCTTCTAAACTAGAAGAGTTGGGATTTGGGAACAGACAAAAAGTAATTGTGTGGAAGTAATAGGAAATGACTCAAGTGCCCATAATTTAAAGAAGAATAATATATGCAGCCATACCCTGCTCTGTCAACTTGCTCAGTCCTTCATCCCACATCAAGACTCAAGTGCTCACACCATTCACACAGCCTTTTATGTAGTGCTTTCAAATATTTCCGTACTTGTATACTTTTTATTTATGACTGTGCCAAAGTTGCAACCAAGGTCTTGTGAGTACTGAAGACGATTTCCCATGTTCCACCTCATATTGGTGTTTATGTGAATGCTAAAATAATAGGAGATGTTCAGGTTTTCAATATTTAATTAAAAATGCCCCTTTTCTCTTGCAAGTTGGAGGATAGATATGACATTAAACACAGTATAATGGAGAAACAGGAATCATATAACCAACCCCGTATCGTTGAGATAATGCTTAAAAGTTAAAATGCCCCTCGATCCGAAAGGGTTTTCTTCTCTTTCGTACATAAGAACTAATTTTTTCCCAATAAGAAAGCACGGTGGTTAGTAAGGCTGGAATGGGATTTGATCCCAGCCCCAGGTGTTTCAACTCTCAGAATTTACTAGCAAAGCCAACCGACGACCCCAAACCAGGACTTAATTTGGACATGTCCCAACTTCCAAGAGGCTCGAATCTGAAATTTTCCTCATAAACAGAAGCTGGTAGAAAACCTTTGGGCCCCTAAGCATCTTGCCGCGTGGCAAGTTTCTGGATCGGTTCTCAATGCTATTAGGTCCTGCAGTTACATATGCTGAAATATACCATGTATTAGATTTCCATTTATATCACTATAAATACCAAAATCACACGAGTATCAGTGGGACCAAGTAAATGCCTTCCATGAGCTCATTCAGTAATTTCGTTTATTCTTTTCAGAAATGAAACAAGGAAAAAAATTGGGTCCTGCAATTGTACGAGGCTACAATCAATGATGACTTCTGGCTTTCAGTGGCTTGTCTCATAGCTACCGCACTATCAGGTTCTAACTTCTAAACTTTTCTACCTCTAAGCCATTATCTTTAAATTTCATATATATAACTTCTCTACCGATCTCAGACCGGATCTGTTCCTCACACCTGCCTCTTCCATGTACATCCAATTATCATGTAGTGCATTTGCACGTGACAGTATTTTTAAGACAAAATTATTTATAATTTATTGATAGTTTTTGAAAAGTTATAAATGGATAGTTTCTTAATTGTTATAAGTGGATAATTTCTTAACTATTATAAGTAAACAGTTATTAGAGTGAGAGTAAGGGATATATATACTCTTTTTTATGCCCGTTGTATGTTGCTTAAATAAGGGGTAAAAATGTTTAATGAAAAGTTTAGAAAATGGGGTTATTCGCTCTTTTATTAATAGTATAGATTATTCTTGGGAGATGTTTCCAATGCACAGTGGATGTGCCTGTGAGGTGCCCATTGGTGAGGAGCAGATCCCATCACCCTCTCAGCCAACTGAATTACACAACGAAGTTCAATCAATAATATGCATCAACATTATTAAGGGGGTTGTTTTATGACAATTGCAAAGATAACAACAAGATCATGATTAATTAAAATTAGCATTTCAATGTGAATTCCTTGAGAGGAGATCTAAAAACCCAACTAATCATTCTAAGAGAACTCACAGCAGAGATTGTGAAGGCAATGCCAAAAACCTCAGATTCGAAGTACGTTGAAAGAAAACTTAGAGTGGAAAAACATTTGCATAGGAAGATTTGCATGTTATTCTCAGGCCCCGTTCG